AAAAAGCAAGCCTTTCCACACCTCATTTACTTGGAACTTCCCTCCTTCCTGATGCTCTGCATTAATCCTAACGGTCAACTTTCTTACTAGTATGCATGAAAGTTCAATTCCCTCCTATCTTTGCTAATAGATTTATAAAGTACTTTCCCAATCTGTGTGCATGCATGTGTTCATCAGTCCTGCAACTGAACTCGGGGCTTGGGTGCTATCTGTGAGGTTTATCCTTAAGGCCAATACACTACCACTTGAGCCACAGCTCCACTTCTGGCTTTTGTGGGTGGGGGGGACAGGGAGGGGTTGGTAGTTAATTTAAGGTAAGAGTCTCTTGAACTTTCCTGCCCCAATTAGCTTTGAAACACAATCCTCAGATCTCAGCTTCCTGAATCAGCTAGGTTAGAAATATAAGTCACTGGTACGTGGTCCAAACTCATTTTGAGATTTAGAGAAAGACCCTGTCCTTAGTGTATTTTAGTCACCAGTGCCTAACACAGGGTCTGACACATAAAAGATAGTCAATGAATGTATGCAGAATGAAAGCATACATTTCCTCAAACTGGTGTAAAAAAAGGGGGAGGGCGCTCATCACAACTCAGTGTCTCGGTGTAATGGGACTTATGCATTCAGAGACAATCAAACGACAAAAATAATTTAAGTGGTTTTCCCTATAGGAAATATAACTGACATGAGGAATGCTCCTTGGGCTGCAAAATGTCAGCTTATTTATGGCCTGGAATAATTGCTGTTATTCAAGGAGCTTACAAGAAAGAACTTGTAAGACTTGGAGAACTTGGTATGTTTTGAAAACCAACTGAATCCACTTGGGCCTTGGTTTATTTGCCTTACCTATATCCAATCAGAGCTAATTGCTGATATCCTTTCCATACAACCCAATCATTTTATGACCTAATGTACAAGAACCACCCACTTGAAGGGAGCTATTGGAAATTTCAGAGACAGCAGTAGCCAACAATCCCACTGTCCTGATTGGAAAACATCCTCATTGTTGGAAAGGGAGGCCCAAAGCAGCAGTACATGCAGGCAACAATTAATAAATGTCTTCAGTCACTCTGAGTATAGTTGGTGCCTAGGGCATTAAGCGCTATCTTGGGGTGGATGCTCAATAGACACATAATCTATAGAGATGAAGGTGGCCTCTGGCATTGTTTCTGTTCTCCTACAGTACTTACCACGTATGGGACTATGGGTGAAATTCTTACCCCTTACTACCTGATCTTTTAGACAACACAACGGTTCTTTTGAAGATGGAGAAAATGCTAATATGTGATGGATAGAGAGCCTGGAAAATAGAGGCAACGAACAAACGCCAGACATTATTATGATAGTTCATTCATTATTATTATAGTTCATTCCTTCAGGCTTCCTACCAGTGAAATGAAAGCTGTATGCATGTGTTCATTCATGCATTTATTCATTCAGTCACTCTTCCCTAAAATATTCACTAAACCATCACCATATCCTGTGCAAAGCACTGAGGCCAGAATAAAGAAGAAAACAGCTTTCATGAAGCTGAAAGGAAAATAATAAAGTAACACAAAAAATACAAATAAATAACATTTGGTGGTAGTAAGTGCTCTGAAGGGATACAAAGATAACAGAGATAATGGAGATAAGAGTGGTGTGTGTGTGTGTGTGTGTGTGTGTGTGTGTGTGTGTGTGTGTGTGTGTGTGGCAACTAACAGGGAAAGTCTTCTTTGAAAAGGCTCAAAAAAAAAAAAAATAGGGAACACGCACCTAAGTAAACACGTAAAGACCAAGAGCAGGGAACCAAATACAGGTGGGCCCTCCAGGACAACGCTTCAAGCCAGGGGACACTGAAGAGGATAGGCCCAGGGCACTGGGAGAAGCCTTTGCCATAGCTTCAGGATCCTGCTCCCTTGCATGCACCCACAGACAGGACTCTGCTCTCTGGCACACTGAGGGATGCTTGGAGGAGTAGACATGGGAGGTGAGAGGGAATCTCAAAGAACAGCCTACAACCTGATGGGGGAGGTGCATATATGTGGAGAGAGGCAAGCATGTTTTCTCTGGGTGTCATTATTACAGCGTGCCAAGAGGCTGCTTCCCTGAGCATGTGTGTAATAAGGCTTCTGAGTAAAGACATGGCTGGAAGTGGAAGCTGCATGGAGTTTTGCCAGTGGTAGAGCTGGGAGTGGAGGGGCAGAGGCCTGGTGATCCAATGACTCAAAACACAAGATTTAAAAAATAATAATAATAACCTTCAAGCTCATATGCACAAAATTGTGCTGTGTCTGATTTAGTTTGTAGTTTGCCCAATGCCCAGACCCCAAGGACTGCAAATAAAGACTTTTAACTAAAAGAAACTCATCTCTCTAATGTCAGGTGCAAGGTCACTGCCTAGTAGGCTCCCTTGAACTTGCTGACCACAGACACTGGTAAGGAGTTGGGAAACTCTAACATCTGAGTCCTGACTTTAACTTCCAGCTGAGATTTTGAAAAAGAGTTGCATTAAATACTTGGGGATTTTGTTGCTTAAGCCATTAGCAGGTTGGTAGACAATACTTGCAAATGTAAAGCGCATGCATCGCCTGCCTCCCAGCAGGCATTGATTCTAACCCACCGCCATGCTCCACTGGAGCCCTGACACTACTCTCAACACCACACTTCACTTCCCAGGGAAGAGTAATGATGGCACACAATACATGCAGGCTCGTGTCCTTGCAGGCTCTGTGTGTGCAACCTTCCGGCAGAAAGACACATGGCTTGCTTTTTGTGAAGAATTATGTGAGGGTTTTGCATGCTTTTTCATGTCATAAGTTGTCAAGCAAAAATTAGGGCTAGAGATTATGTCCAAAAAACACATGTTCTACCAGGCACTAGTGGTTCATGCCTATAATTCTAGTTACTTAGGAGGCTGAGAACTGAGGAGCACAGTTGAAAGCCTGGTTAGGAAAAGTCTGTGAGACCCTTGTCTCCAAAAAGAAGTACAGCAGTGGTTCAAGTGGCAGAGTACTAGCCATGAGCAAAAAGCTCAAGGACAACACCTAGGTCCTGAGTTCAAGATCCAGGACTGGTGCCTGTGTGCATACAAACACACACAAAAACTTGTTCCAGTTAAAGCCAGAGACTTAATTTTATACCATGGTCTTAGGATGAAAACAAGTAGGCCAGCTTCCAATGAAACTATGTACTAACAGTCCTAAAGTGTGTGTGTGTGCATGTATACACACTCACACATATATGAGGTTCTGTCTGAAGGCAGACAGGAGGTGATACAGAAGAGAGATAAGATTTGAAGAGCTAGACAGCTGAGAAATTATTTTGGTCTTAGAAAAGTAAGCCCTGTAACAATATCAAAGTAGAATCAGCAGGTATGCCAGGAAAATGCTTTTCTTATTTGCCTTATTTGAACTTAGCCCATATTTCTATTTAATTGCTCTCTTCTCATTTTCTTAGGCAATAATTATAAGACTAACTTTTCAAATAAAATAAAATTGCTCCTCTGTTCTCTGCAAACTGGTTACAAAGCAGGTTAAGGCAAGTTCCCCCAACCCTGTCTGAGTCTCAGGGGTTCAGTGGATGGACTCAGCTTAGGAAGATTCTTATTACAGTAATGAACACTCATTATTCGGAATAGGTCACTTGAAATGGTAGGTAGATCAGTTGCCTCTCTATGCCTCAGTTTCTTTATTAGCTTAATATATTTGACTGAACCATTTTATGGTATAAGCCAATAATTTCTTGCAATATGCTCTCTGATGAGTCTGAATTTAATTTAGTCCCTAGCCAGTTCTCTACAATTGATCCAGGGATCAGAATGAAGGCCCCTCATTGAACTGTGTAAGAAATCCAAACAAACATATTTTAATGGCTCAGTAATACCTTCTGTTACCAGTTCTATGGAATCTTCCCTCAGGTTACACTCAACTCTAGCCTCTTGGTCTATAAAAGCAATTAATAAAATCAGTAAACATGAGCTAAAATATCTGCCTGTGGCAATAGCATGTAGCTAAATGGTTAAGTCTACTTAGCATCATGCATTACTGTATGTATTGTTAAGCAATTTTGGAAGTTTTGAGATCTATTCTCCTTTCGATTTTGCTTTGTATCTCAGAAGTGGGTCTCTTCCAAATGCATTTGTCAGGGCCAGGTGCCTTCTGGCCTTGGGTTAATGTGGTTAGCGAGAATCAGGCAGGAGACTGGAAAGCAGGTAAAGCCAGGCTTTTCTCCTCCTCCTTCTTGGCATTGAGATGTTTCTGGCAATGATTCCATGAAGAGTTCCCCTCCCAGTGGAAAACTGCTCCCCCTGTGGTCCCAGGTGGCTCTGCTAACACCCACTGCCCTTCCTTTGATTCCTCAGCACTGCAGGTATGAGTGATTGCCTAACTAACCCTTCAGCCTCTCCAATCTTGGCATTGACTTCTTTCTGTTGACCTACTTAGCATGGGCTATACCTTAGGGGACTTCCGGTCTCCAGAGAACAGATATCACATTTATGAGTACACAGCCCCAGGCAATAAACTTGGCAGATATATTCTTTCTTTACTAGCAGGAAAGGTCTTTCACAGGATCATGGGCCTAGCCACCCAGTCCCTACTGGGCACCAAGAGTATCGGAGTGGAAAGAGCAATGGCCAGAAAACTATAGACTAGGCCTTGTCATGCAGTTACATGGCCTTTGCCAAATGCCTTAGTATCACATGATCCCAAGTTAATGCTGTCTATTTGGCATAAGCAATGTTTTAGAGACTGTAAATGCAAAAATGTAAAATATCATTATTATGATATGAGGCACAGTAGGCTTTGATGGAAAGGAAAACGCTTTGCTCTTGGCTTAGCCTAATTCCTCAGTCTGATTAGTACAAATGGTACTAAAGCAGAAGTGCTTAGAGTAGCGCCTGGCACAGCAAGAACTTCATCGGCCTTTACTGTGGTCCCTGTGCTGGGCTTCCCTTGGCATTCTGTCAGCACAATAACACGTCACTCATGAAAGGCCTGGAAGGAAGGTCAGGAGGAACTTACCGATATCCAGGACCCTCTGCTTCGCTGTGTGCTGCCGAGAGTGCCAGTACTTCCAGTATTTCAGCTGCTCATCTCGGTTTTTGTCTTCGCTGAAAACCACCATCACCACACTCTGCAGAGGGGAGAGGGGGGGACATTATTTTCCTCTAGCACCTCTGTGCTCTCAGTCTCCAGTGCTATTTTACCCCAGGTATGCTTCTGTATCATACCTTTTCCTGCTTAAGAAGAACCCAGACAAGTTCAGCTGTATGTTTCAAAGTGTTTTAAAGAGGTTTACTTAAAAAAAGAAGCCTCAGCCGGGCGCCGGTGGCTTACGTCTGTAATCCTAGCTACTCAGGAGGCTGAGATCTGAGGATCACAGTTCAAAGCCAGCCCCGGCAGGAAACTCTGTGAGACTCTTATCTCCAATAAACCACCAGAAAAACAGAAGTGGCGCTGTAGCTCAAGTGGTAGAGTGCTAGCCTTGAGCTGAAGAGCTGATGGCGCTCAGGCCTAGAGTTCAATCCCCACAACCAACAACAACAACAACAAAAAGAAGCCTCTTAGGTTTGGTGCTGGTGGCTCATGCCTATAATCCTAGCTACTCAGGAGGCTGAGATCTGAGGATCATGGTGCAAAGCCAGCCCAGGCAGTAAAGTTCATGAGACCCTTATCTCCAATTAATGCTGTGGCTCAAGTGGTAGAGGGTTCACCTTAAGCTGAAGATCTCAGGGACAGTGCCCAGGCCCATAGTTCAAGCCCTATGACCTTAAAAAAAAAAAAAAAGAGGCCTCCTGAGTAGCCAAGTTTTCAGGCTTGAGCTAATGGTGCCCAGCTTGCCTTGATTCGTTTTGACATAGGGTCTTGCTTTTGCCCCAGGGTGGTCTGAGTTGAGATCCTTCTACTTGTGTTTCTCCATGTTGCTGGGGATGATGGGTATATACCACTGTTGCCAACCATTGGTTCAGACGGAATCTCATGAACTTTTAAACCATGATTTTCTCATCTCTACCTCCCAAGTAGTTATAAGTATAAACTTTAGCCATGGCACCCAGCTCTGGCTCCTTTCAAAACACTTTTTTTTTTTTAAGATGCTGACTGTGCTTTGACCTAGAATAAAGGAGGAATAAAAGAAATACTAAGGAAATGAGGGGAATGCTAGAAGGATGAATTCCTATTGATAAACACAGATATATATTGTTTTGGTCAGTTGTGAGGTTTTACCTCTGGGCCTGGGTGCTGTCCTTGAGCTCTTCAGCTCAAGGCTAGCGCTCTACCACTTGAGGCACAGTGCCACTTCCGGTTTTCTGGTAGTTAATTGGAGATAAGAATCTCATGGACTTTCTTGCCACGGCTGGCTTTGAACCGTGATCCTCAGATCTCAGCCTCAGTAGTTAGGATTACAGCGTGAGCTACCTGCACCCAGCAATAAACACAGATTTAAGGTTCAGATATTTCAGATACCGAAAAATACAAGGCAAAGAAGTAGAAGATTACTAAAGCATGTATATACAGAAAAGGATTCCAATGGTATAACTTCTCTGAACAACTAACTTGTAAGTAACAGGAAGATAAGCCATGTTTTATCAGAAAGTGGTGGGGCTCAGGTTCAAGGAGCGGTACAGAGAGGAAAGATGAATGAATCAGTCAGAATATTCATTGTATATGTGTAAAAACAGAACCAGGTAATGTGAGAGGATGAGTGTGGCTGAGACAGATAGTAACAGAATGATGGAAGAAGTGATGTATTCAAGATGTATTGAATTCACAAATTGACATGTTGAACTGAAACTCTTTGAGGTATCTCTACGCAAAGATTTTGTGTATGTGTGTGTGTGGCTATACTTTAAAAATGAGCTTGGGAACCAGTAAGTGGCATTATAGCAACACCAGGGCCAGGTCATTCACTATGCTGGTGGTACCTTGAACTTCGCAGTTTCTTATTCTTCCCTCTCTCCCACTTCCTCACTTTTCCATTCAGCTGTATAAGCTGACTATCATTTTTGTTTCTAGCTTAAAATTAAAATAAAATTTAGACTTTTCTTGTTTTTTTCATCTAATAAATGATAAGGTTGGCATAATAACATATTCTTAGTACAGCAATTTCTTTCTTCAATTATAAAGAAAAAAATGATCTTGAAATGGTTTCATGCCTTGATTCAGACTTCACATTGTTCTGAAAAATAAATGGCCATGGTTCATTGCTCTTAACACACTTTAGGATCCTTGGGCTGAGGAGTAAGAGTTACTCTGGTGCTGAGAGACACCAGCTAACTCTGTGCACGTGTGACGCTGAAGTCCTTACAAGAGTTCTTAATTTGGGTCAAAATGGAAATGTAAGCAAACAAAATTTTTCATAATAAAGTATCTTCAGGATGGAAACAAATTATGATTTTAGAGGAGTCCTTGTACTCTAACCTCTTCATAGGTTTTTTTTTTTTGTTTTTGTTTTTTATGGGTGACAGTAATGGTGGTTGTTAAGAAGGATTTTATGGTTAAACTCTTACTTAGAAATCACAAAGATTTGATTTAAGGCAAATGTACTCAGTATCTTCTCAGGTGCCCACATCCAAAGGTGGACATGCCCAACCACAGCACACTTCTCAAGTGAAGACGGTTGGTTTCAGCTCTCTGGCAGCCTGGGACATAATATCCTGGTTCCCTCACAGTCTAGCTATGGAATCCTTGGCCAGGTCTAACTGTGAAAACCCGCGTTTCCTTATCTGTACTATCACACAAACACAGTGCCTGTCTCATAAGGTTGTGGTAACTTTCACTGGGCTACTTAGATATACAGTGTCTGTCATTGAGCCTGGCACATGGAAGATACTGATGCAATGAATTATTATTTTTCAACTTCTTCTTGACATAGTACATCTTCCTCCTTGGTCTTGACCACAAAATCAGAACCTACTAATTATCCTGATGGCACTGTGCAGAGTAGGCACCTTTGACCTCCAGTGGTCTCAGTTTAGTAGGTGACCTTGACCTCATATTTGATGGGGGAGTAGGAGGAGATACACAGTGTTCATACTCATGGCATACCATGGTTCCCAGTTCCTGTTGTTCTGAAGAGTCTAGTAGGAAACAGCTATGGATAAAATAAGGAAGGCTGGGCACCATGGATACAGCAGCATGAAGCATTCACAACAGACCAGGAAAATCCTTCAACCCTTCTCAGAGCTCTCCTCTAATTTTCCTCTTCAGTATAGAGGGCTTACCAGTCCCCTCCTTCCTGGCAGCAGTAAGCATGTCAGAAACTGGCAGGTATCCAGAGCAGTGAAGTAGGGCTCCAGACTCATTCCCTACAAATAGGACTAACAGTCATCAATCTGGAAATTGCTCCTGCAGGGAATGGTGCCTCTCCACCTGAACCTAAGTAATCCCAAGGCTGCAAAGGCCTTTTGAAGAGTCAAAGGGCTCAGAGCCTCAGTATGAACTGTTTCTGAGCAACATCTCCTTCTCACCCACAAACAAGTCCAGATTTATAGCCACTTCGTTGAAAAATTAAAATCCTTTGAAAAGAACAACACTATGGACATCTAAGCAATGAATGGAGTAGGAAAATTCCTTGTATACTGTCAGAAAACATGTTCAACCAGCTCCTTCCCTAGGGTTACTGGTTACTGATTAACATTATAAATTAGCCAGGTGCCTGTGACCTACTCCCGTAATCCTAGCTACTCAGGAGGCTGAAGATAGTGGTTCAAAGCCATCCTGAGCAAGAAAGTCCATGAGATTCTTATCTCCAATTAATCACCGGAAAATCAAAAGTGGCACTGTGGTTCAGTGGTAGAGCGCTAGCCTTGAGCAAAAAAACCTCTCAGAGACAGTGAGTTCAAGCCCTACAACCAACAAAAAATAAAAATAATAAATAAAATAATAAACTAAAATCCAATAGGTTCTCCTGCTCCAACTCTGACATTGTACTAGAATTATTTATTTTGGAAATTTTTTTTCCCATCACGCCACAAGGCTATGAAAAGCCATCTTCTTTATCTAGTCATACTACTGATTCATTCATTCATCATGCTATGCATCCCTCTATACCCTACTTGAGAAATTAGCACATACCCTGACTTTGCTGATGGGGTGTCGGAAGCATTTGTTGTCCCCGGTCTCACTGAGCGTTATGGCGTAGAACTGTCCCTTGTTGAGGTAGGTCATAGGGCCCTCTCCCTGCTTCTGACGGAGAGATTTGGTAGCTTCCAGTGTGTACTGAAATGTGCCACTGGGAACAGGAAACAAACCATGGTCAGAATCATTTCTGTCTTTCTGACCAGTTTCACACCAATAGTATTTTGTATGAATATTAACCAATATTTACTCTGTTTTAGAGACAAAACATGGCAGATGGCAAGAAATGAGATGAGAACAAAGGTCACTGTGGAGTACAATGTATGTAACATTTCTAATAGGGGCCCATAAACCAGATGGCTGGAAAGGGAGAAAGTCCATGATGCGCTTGGCATATTATGCAAGTGTGCCATGGACCCTTGAGTAGATCTTCATTGACAGGGAATGCCTGAAGCTGAATTACTGGTCTAATTTGGCTCTTGCAGTCAAACATAGGACTGGTTCTGTTCCGTTCATCCATATACCTAACCTTCCTTGTATCCAACTGAGAGTCTACAAACAACCATCTTACCTAAAAATATTTCAAAATGTAAACATTTTAAACTCAGATATTCACTACTGAGAACCTAGTTCCCTAGCCAGTGGTTGTTTTTTTTTTTTATTTCTTGTGGGATTTGGGTAAGGATTTTGTGGTGTATTTGTGGTGTTGTTTGGGGTTTTTGTTTTGGTTTCTGTTTTGGTCAATTGTGGGGTTTGAACTCAGGATCTGAGCACTATCCCTGAGCATGTCTATTCAAGGCTAGCACTTTGACACTTTGAGCAACAGTGCCACTTCTGGGTTTTGGGTGGTTAATTGGAGATAAGAGTCTGACAGACTTCCCTGTCCGGGCTGGCTTTGAATTAAATTCCTCAGATCTCAACCTCCTGAGTAGCTAGGATTATAGGCATGAGCCACTGGTGCCTAGCTATTTGAGGTTTTGTTGTTGTTGTTGGGGGGGGTGATGTGTTTTGTTTTATGGTACTTGAGATTTCATCCTAGTCTTATACATGCTAGGCAAGTACTCTAACACTGAGCTACATCTTTAGCCTTTCATATATTTTATTTTGAGACATAGTCTTGCTAAAGTTATGTAGGCTGGCTTTGAATTTTAACCACAGGCTCCTAAATGGTTAGGATTATAGTTGTGCACTATTGCACTTGGCTTGTTGTTGTTGTCAAAGCTGGGAAAGAATTTATAACAGGTCTGGCTCTGGGACTGGAAAAGGATGGTCTATGACACAACTTGCTTGCTGCCTGTTTTTATACATAAAATTTGTTTTATAAATAAATCTTATTGGATCACAGCTATGATAACTACTAACCATGCAATAGTTTGCTGAATATTTTTAATATATAATTTACAGAACAAAAATTTCCTCAATTTCCAAGGCTATGGTAATTGTTTAAAACAAATGTGTGAGCTGCAATGCTTTATTGTTGTTGCTGCTGTTGTGTTTAATGAATTCATTCAGAAATACTTATTTTTGTTACCACTGCAAGATGTTGTCCTGCATGACAATTCAATAATGAATATTATGTCTTCTGAATCATTACACCCTGACCATTGATTCTTGTGTTTTATCCCCTTCATTTGCTGGGTACAAACATGGTTCTCCAACTTTGTCTCTTACAATGGTCTATTAACAGTACTGGAAGGGACTCTTGCTTTCAGTTAGCTACTCCTATGATATTCTAATTAATTTTAACCGCATAAGAAAAAAGCATTTTGACATCAAGTAACTTCCCTCTAAAACTCTGAGGCATAAGCAAATGCTACAGTATGTGTCTTCCAACAAGGTTAAAATAAATCACTCATGACAGGACCACTTTCAGTGTCATTTTGCCCCCTTCAAAAAAATAAAAACCAAAACAAGTCATTTTAATATAGCACCATTAAAATATTAAATTTTAGACCTAGCTAGGCTATTTTAGACATCACATAAACCAAGTGTCATATACAAGACTACATCTTTGACCTTGCCTAAGTCAAAGATTGCTTTTAAAATGTGAAGTGTTGGTAGCTGAGAAATCAGCCCAGATGTCCCTCAGTGAACGAATGGATCAGGAAAATGTGGTCAATATACACAATGGAATTCTACTCACAAAGAATGAAATGGTACTATTTGGAAGGAAATGGAAAGACATGAAAAATATTATATTAAGTGCAGCAAGCTGGACCCAGAGAAACATAGGTTGCATGGTTTCCCTGATTTGTGGTAGCTAGAATGTGATATATATATATATATATATATATATATATATATGTGTGTGTGTGTGTATATATATACACATACACACACATATATATATAGAATGTGATATATATATATATATATATACATATATATAGACATACATATGGATATGATAAATTATACAGGTCTCTAGGTATTCACACACAATGAGAACAAAGGAGGATATTCTTAGAAGAGGAACACAAAGGCACAATATTGATGTGCATATAATTATAATTATGTAAAATTATATAAAAATTATATAAAACTCCAGGAAATGGAAGAGGTTCTTTGTTGCTGTTTTTTGTTTTCTTTTCCTTTTGATTTGTTCATTTATCTGTCTTTGGGAGGGTCAGGGGAGGGGGCACAAAAACGGTGGGATAAAGGGTGAACAAATGCAGCAGTGGTACTCACTGGACAGTATGTTGAAAATGAATTATACAGCTTGTAGGTAGGGACAGGAGGGGAAAACTGAGAGTGATAGAAGGGGGTGACATTGCTCAAAAAGAAATATACCTTATATAACATACATAATTTACATAATTATATATCTACAGAACTTTTATAACTTCAACCCCTCTGAACATTACCTTTAGAATAACAACTAAAAATGCATGAAGAAAAACAAATTCTAGAACAGATGAATATGTCACAGGCCCAGGAATGTCAGGTTTAATTACTCCCCAGCTGACATCGTTAAGACCTGACATTCTCTAAAGGAAGTAACTCTCTGGGTTGCTAGGTTAGCAAATAACAGGATGCTCAGTCAAATCAGAATTTCACACAAACAACAAATCAATTTTTATAAGTTTAATAAATGAATAAACAAAATGTGAAGTCTTTAACTCCAATTTCTTACTTAAGGAGCTAAATATGTTTCTTTCTCTCCTTCTATTAAACTCCTTGCTTTACTACTTCAAAATAAAATAAAGTATGAAGAGAGCTAGGAATGCACCTCCCAGAAGCGGGCATTTATAAAACATAAATGATTAAAATATAATTTCCGGGACTTGTGTCCCCTGAGCTCCATGAGACAGACTAAGTACCTAGCGTTCAGCCACCCAACTCACTTTACAGCTCAGAAGTGTCTAAAGGAAGTTCTCCATACACTAGATCAAGTAACTGGATCTTTGCTCTCTTCACTGGCCTGGCAACTGCTTCCTTGCCACTCTGACTATGTAATGCCTACATGCCTATGCAGTCCCACATCCTAGAAGGATTTAGTCAAGAGTATAAATAACAATCTAGAAGTTCTTTTGCACAGAGCCAAGCATTGAAGGCAAAGGAAATCAGATTGCTCTATGCAAGAATATAAAGGAAAAAAAAAGAAAATTGAGGCCACAGTGATTGTCACTTACATGCATTTCCTGGTAACCTACCTTGATGTCTGCTCATACATGTACTCCTCAGCCCCCACAGAAGCACTCCGAAACTTCTGCAAAAGTTAAGTTATAAAATTAAAATAAATAGGTAGGTCAGTATGCCAAAACAATAAATGAGAGTCCCACGGGCTCCTTAGAAGGGAAAATGTGTCCATTTTTGGCACTCTGTTGGTAATCAATGTAGTTCCCATTCCTCCACAGAAATCACCCATCACCTCCACCTTGAGAAGTGCACGCCACAGACAGCATGCGTGGACTCTGTCTGCCCCTCGTATGTCTGCAAGCAGGCCAAAAGGCTTGCAGACACTGGAAACTATGTCTTCAAACACAGCAAACATTTGTTTTCCTATTTTTGCTTGTCTTCAACACTTACTGTAAATGTTACCTCACACGACATAGCAAAAAGCAGCTCAGTAGAGCAGATAGAAGCACTGTTTCTAAGCAAGATCATTCAGGGTTAAGTTTTAGCTCCTTTACCTGACATTTGTGCAGCATGAAGCAATTGTGGTCATTTTTCTCTGCTACATGTCTACTCATAGTGATTAGAAAATAAAAAGGTTAATAAAAAGAGTGGTAAACACAGTGAGGACCAGATAGGTATATTAAATTCTAGTAAATAGTAATGCGTTAATCATATTCTCCATCCTATTAGCATAACATTTTATGAGTAAGTTTTTGGAGAAACTCTTAGTAATACACAAGACAATCCTTGAGCCCTGAGAGGTTCAATTACTTACATAGTAAACTGGATGCCTATTGCTACATTTAGAACATTTTAAAAAGCACTCCCAGTCGAGAGCCAGTGGTTCCCTCCTGTAATCCTAGTTATTAGGAAGGCTGAGATCTGAGGACTGTGGTGTGAAGCTAGCCCAGGCAGCAAAGTCCATGAGACTCTTATTAATTAATCAACAAAAAGCTGGAAGTTGAACTGTGGCTCAAGTGGTAGAAAACTAGCCTTGACTGAAAAAGCTCAAGGACAGCACCCAGGCCCTGAATTCAAGCCCAAGGACTGGCACCAAAAAGAAAAAAGTACATGTTCCAATACCTTGATTCTTGACTTTAAAATTAGCATAATAAACCAGGGGCCAGGGGCTTATGGCTTGTAATCCTAGCTACTCCGAAGGTTAGATCTTAGGTTTGCAGTTCAAAGCTAGCCCAGGCAGGAAAGTCCAGGAGACTTATTATCTTCAATTAACCATCAAAAAAGCCAAACGTAGAGTCATAGCGGTATATAGTGGTAGAACAATGCTCAGGGGCAGTGCCCTAAATTCAGGCCCCAGGAATAGCAAGACCGCCACCCTCTGAAAAAGTCACCTAATAAAAATTGGTGAAAAATAACTTGGTTGACCATATACATGAGCTTTCTGCTTGGACAAAAACACTTTCTTGCCTCTCATTTCCAAGTCACAAACCTCCATTCTTTGTCTAGCATCTCAAAGGAAGGCTTTTCTCACAGCTATTTTTTTTCACAGTCTCTAACCACATCCAGAAATCAGCATGTCCTTAGATCCTAGTGACTATGAACATATTTATGATTGTTCGTTTTATCCAGTCTTACTCCTTAGATACAAGATGGTCTCCTTCAAAGTTTACCCAAATAAATCCTATGAACATTATACAAATATTCGGTTGAATAATCATACCAAAAACACTCAAAGGTACAGGCTTGTGTTTCTTTTTCAGTTAATGAGAAAAGCATTCAATGGCATCTTCTTAGGTTTAGTACCAGAAGAAATATAGAGGTTTATAAGACTCAGAGATTTAAAAATTGGTTGAGAGCATGAAATAAATTCACATAAAAGCAACATATGAAGCAAACAATAACATATGAAGGTCTACATTGAAAAAGCAAAGAATGGGCGTTGCCAGGAAATGAAGATGAACAAAATAGAATAGAGATAAGGCTACTTTGATCCCGAAGTTAAGAACTTGGAATGTTTGGAGGAACTAAAAGAAAGCAATCTAGGTAAAAGACAACAAGGACTGACCAATGCTAGGGTCACACTTACATTCCTAGCTACTCCGGAGGCTGACAATCAAGGTTCAAAGCCAGCCTGGACAGAAAAATCTGAGAGAATCTTATCTCCAATTAACCAACAAATATCCAGAAGTGGAAGAGCCATGGCCTTGATCTATGGCTTATGTTCCAGCCTTGAGGGAAAAAGCTAAGAGCATGAGGCCCTGAGTTCAAGTTTCAATATGTGCACAAAAAGACAAGTAGGAGCCAGGAGAAATGACAGATACAATCATGAAATCCAAGACACAAACTTGGCCTAATTATGAAAAGAAAACCTGAAAGTCTAGGTCTTAATTGCCCAAATATAGTAGTCATGTGCTATTAAAGTATAAATTGATTCGAATTAGATAAGAGTTAATATTCAGTTACTCAGCAAACTGACCACATTTCAAATAAGTTGCCGAGTGACTACCAATTAGTGACTACCATATTGGTTAGCATCAAAGGTTTTCCACTGTTGCAAAAAGTCCAGTTCAACAGAACTGACTTCTAGTAAAGAGTTAGGAATTTTTGGAGTAGAAGGGGAACACAATGGGAAAAGCATTTAAAGGAGTAAGTCTGAGATAGGTAGGATGAATGCAATGCAAAATACATGATAAATGATTACTTTCACATTCCTTAAGAAACTTGTACAACTTACTAAAAGAAGTATAAATAGCTGGGTGCTGGTGGCTCACGCCTGTAATACTAGCTACTCAGGAGGATGAGATCTGAGGATCGAGGTTTGAGCCAGCCCAGCAGAAAAGTCCCCATGAGACTCTTATTTTCAATTAACTACTCAAAAAATTGGAAATGGTGCTATAGCTCAAAGAGGTAGAGTGATTAGCCTTGAGCAAAAAGAGCTCAGAGACAATGCCCAGGCCCCAGATTCAAGCCCCACAACTGGGGAGAGTAAATAATCCAATATTAAAATCAGGGAAAAGATTTGAACAAACACTTCACAAAAGTTAGGGAAGAACAAACAAATATATGAAATGATGTGCTATATCATTAGACATCAGAAAGATGCAGATTCTAGCCAGAATGAGACACCAATGCACAACCACCAAAATACTGATAGGAATGGAATGGCCCCAACACCTTGAAATCCCATAAAGTCAAACATACACCTACTGCAAAGCCCAGAAATTCTGCTCCATGGTAAGAAATGAAAGCCTATGTTCATGTGAAAATATTTATATATTTATATATATATATATATAAGTATTCATAGCAGAATTATTCATAATAGCCAAAAACTGTAGGCAACCAAATGTCCATCAGTGAGTGAAACAAACTTGTAACATATATGTATCATGGAATTCTACTCAGCAATTTAAAAACACAAACTATTATGCTGGGCACCAGTAGTTCATGCCTGTAATCCAAACCATTTAGGAGGCTGAAATCTGAGGATTGCAGTTCAAAGCCAGCCTGGGCACAAAAGTACATAAGACTCTTATTTCCACTTAATCACCAAAAACCCAGAAGTGATAGAGCCATCAAGTGGTAGAACTGAGCCTTTAGTGGAAAAGCCAAGCCAGAGTACAAAGCCCTGAGTTCAAGCCCCAGGACTGGCACAAAGAAGAAAAACTAAAAAACCTACAAAGTATTACTATAAGCATTTATAAATGAATAAATTTATTTATACTGTCACAAATTAATCCTCAAAATATGCTCTATGAAGTCAACATCAAAGACTATAGATGTTGTCATTCAGCCTATATGAAATTTTAGAAAAACTAACAGTATGGTGACTGAAAGCAGTCAATGTCTGCCAAGACTCAGGTGTGAGGAGCAGCCTTCAAGTTCAAGGAGATTCAGGGGAGCTTTTAGGGGGAGAGCTTCCTACAATGTGACTATGATGTTGATTATACAATTGTATAGAATTACCAATATTCTCAAACTAGCACTTAGAGCTTAAAAATTTGAAACAAATAAGACAATTGTTTCTGTAAATGCTGTGAATACCTAAGAAGATTATGTCCTTTCTATTTTTATGATGCTAAGTAGACATACCCTGGATTATTGGCAACATAGCATTTATACTAGATTGCTGGTAACATAGCACAGCTTCTTGAGTATTCAATCTGACAAAGTTTTAAAGGATGCCAGTGTTATCAAAAAGATAAGCCATTGGCTGAGTATGGATCAAGTTGTAGAGAGCCTGCCTATCATGTACAATATCATGAATTTAATGACCAAGTACCACCTACACACACACACACACACACACACACACACACACACACACACACACACACACACACACACACACACACACACACACACTGGACAGGAAAGATCCAGCCAGCAACCATTTGGAAGGCTATAAACTAGATGAGGTCAAAGTGAATTCCTTAAAACAAAACACTTCTTAATTCTTCATAAATAATTAGAAGGTTAAAACTAAAGCTAACACACAAGGTAATCATCTAAGTGACAAGAAAGACAGAAACATCCCCAAACAAACCAACATTTGGAAAGAACATGAGATTACTAACAAACACATTTTAAAAAAAATAAGGAGGGGCTGGGAAGGTGGCTCAGTGGTAGAGTGCTTGCCTTGCACGCATGAGGCTCTGGGTTCGATTCCTCAGCACCACATAAGCAGAAAAGGCCAGAAGTGGCGCTGTGGCTCAAGTGGTAGAGCGCTAGCCTTGAGCTGAAGAGCTGAGGGACAGCGCCCAGGCCCAGAGTTCAGGCCCCACAACGACCAAAAACTAAACTAACCTAAACTAAACTAACTAAGGAGACATCCTCACAATCAGGTTCATCCTCATTTACTTAACTAGCACCCGGAGGGGGCACACTGGCCGGGTGTTCTGGAGTCGGGAATGAGGGGACTCACCTCTGCGTTTCCGTCCTTGAAGCTCTCGCTGTAGGTGCTGTCCGGGGTGCTGCGCTGGTCATCCTTGAGGTAGGAGCTGTGGGTGGCTATGGGGGGCAGGTCGTACTGAGTCTGCTCGAAGATGACCACGCGCTGCTCCTCCCCCTCGCCCCTCGGATAGTGCACAGGTGGCGCCATGAACACAGGCGTGAAGTCTTCGGCCTTCACCACCGTAATGCCAGACACAGGGATGACCGCCGGGCTCTCAGAGATGGACACGCTGTACTGCTCCCGCTTGGAATTCTCCACGTGGTCTTGACTTAGGCAAAGGTTCACTGGGACAGTCTTTAGGACCTGCACCCGGTTTTCTCCTCCGCTCAAGTTACTCTGGGCTTCGGTAGTGCCAAGGCAATTTCTGTGTGTTCAAACCCACCCCAGCAACATAACAGAATTAAAAAATTGCCACTTGGCAAATTTCCAACAAAAGAATCCGTGCACAGAGCAATCTGCAAGGGCTATGGCCATGAGGGATAGGCTGATGGCAGATTTTACAATAAAACCGAACGTATTGCATTACCAGAAATAGGATGTGAAGTGCTCAAAAGCCCTATTAAAATAGTAAGCACTTCTGACCCCAGCCACCCACCCAAGAAAAACTGACTCCATGTCTAATCATACTACTGCAACCACTTTCAGTTCTCAGGAGCTGGAAGAATAACTTCACATTAAAAAAAATATGAAGAGGGGGCTGGGAAGGTGGCTCAGTGGTAGAGTGCTTGCCTCGCATGCAGGAGGCCCTGGGTTCGATTCCTCAGCACCACATAAGCAGAAAATAGGCACAGTGGCCCAAGTGGTAGAGCACTAGCTTTGAGCTGAAGAGCTGAGGGACAGCGCCCAGGCCCAGGGTTCAAGCCCCACAACCGGCAAAAAAAAAAAAAAAAAAGACGACAAACCAGAATCTAACAGCCCTTACCAACACAAATTTGCCAGCAAGTCAAGGAACAAAAACAAAAAAGAAGAAAATAGGGAGGACTGGTTCAGATGAACGATTTTTAAAAATCATAAAATCAAACATAATGCAGATGTTGCTCAGATTCTTAAGGGTGAAAAGACAGGGATAATAAACTGGGTAATTTGAAGGAGTGATGGGAAAGATATTTTCACCAGTCTGTGAGCTTTAAGGGGGAAAAAGAAAGCCAGGCGTTGGTGGCTCACGCCTGTAATCCTAGCTACTCAGGAGGCTGAGATCTGAGGATCGCGGTTCAAAGCCAGCACGGGCAGGAGAGACTGTGAGACTCCTATCTCCAATAAACCACCAGAAAACTGGAAGTGGCGCTGTAGCTCAAGTGGTAGAGCGCTCGCCTTGAGCTGAAGAGCTGAGGGACAGCGCCCAGGCCCAGAGTTCAAGCCCCATGGCCGACCAAAAAAAAAAAAAAAGTGGGGGGGGGGGAGATAACAACTTATCACTAAATCAAGAAATAATAAGCCAGGCACTGGTGGCTCACACCTGTAATCCTAGCTACTCAAGAGGCTGAAATCTGAGGATCGCGGTTCAAAGCCAGCCTGGGCAGGAAAATCCGTGAGACTTATCTCCAATAAACCACTAGAAAACCAGAAGTGGTGCTGTGGCTCAAGCAGTAGAGCACTCGTCTTGAACTGTAGAGCACAGGGACAGCGTCCAGGCCCAGAGTTCAAGCCCCACAACTGACCAGAAAAGAAAAGAAAGTAAGTAACAAAGCAAGCAAGCAAGCAAGAAAGAAAGAAAGAAAGAATAGAAGCTTCTAGATATCTTGAGCCCCCTTGCATTTCGTTGGAGCTTAAGGACATGTTGCACTGGCTTATATATAATAAGATCTCTGACCTCCTGGCTGATACAGAGAGAAGGGAAAGGGTTTAGAAAGTTAAGAAAAGGCAAGAATAAAATACTTTCATTTATACTAAAGCATTCTGGGAGAAAGCAGAAGCAAACTGGAATTTGTTAATGAAACATTACTATTGATAGAAAAATAATTTTACCAGGAGTTCCTCTAGTCAGTAAATTGGGCAGGAGGACAGTTATCTACTATTATTCTGAATAGTATTGAAAGAAAATACGTTTGCATGGGCCCCTGTCTTGGATAATTAGGACTTTTCTGTGTTTGTTTTTATCTTTTTCAATCTATCATGTGCTTTCTGGGGCTGACGGGTATTGCTCATTGGGAGAAATATTTGAATGAAATTGGTTGTTCTAAGAATTGAGACCTCACCGCTCCTATTTGCTTTAAAAAAAAAGGAAAGAAAAAGTCCAAAGCTTACCTATCTAATAGTTTTAAAGTAAAACTTCAAAGTGAAGCTTGGGGATAAAATGGCTCCACAAGAACAAAGTCAACAGAAAAGGATCTGAATGCTCTGAGTCTCTCCCTGATCCATAGATACAATCCTAGAAAATAATCCTCTAGGGGATAAAACCACCACTCTTTAGACATTTGACTTTAAGCAATAACCTATTTTCATGGTCAGATCAGTAAGAGACACAAGATTCAAACATCATATTTTTGTTTCTGTCATTCTTTTGCTATGATAAAATCCTGCACTTAATGAGCTTGCTTGTTCCTGGCTGGTGCTCTACCACTTGAGCCCTGCTTTTTGCTGGTTAATTAGAGAGGGAAGTCTCAGACTTTTCTACCTTGGCTAACTTAGAACCATGATCCTCTAGGTCTCAGTTTCCTGAGTATCTAGGATTATAGGGGAACAAATCATATTTAATTTGAACCCAGTTACCTAAATGATATCAAAACCCAGCCACCTGTTTACATCAAAATTTCCTAAAGCCCACTGTTTAGAAAATTCCACATGATGTTTATAGATGTTCCTTAAAAAAGTCCATAAAAAAGCAAACAGAAAAAAAAAGTTGCCATATTTAAACAATTCTGTATGCATCCAAACACATGAGCTAAAGGCCTGGGCTTTCCTTAATCTGTGTAATTGTAATCTAGGATTTTCTAACTCATTTCACCCCAGACCCTTCTGTGGAGGAAAGAAACATCACTAGTATTTGTGTATTATGTCCTATGATAGATTCATCTCCAAGGCATTACCAGCTTTCACTCTGATCCTTCCACAGGCATAGTATTAACTGGCTTTACCAAAATATTCAAAGAGCTCCACAATCCATGTCAGTTCAAATTTGCTTAATCCTCTAGCTCACAAAAAACATGAATTTTAAACAAAGAACACAAATCAAAATATTTTGGGTGTGCATATTAATGAGTCAGAAAGCAAATGATAGTCATATGTAAGTCTCGGTAAATCATTATTATCCTATCACCAGGAAATGATTTGGACCCCACATTATAATGTGTCTGTAATAGTACCAGTTTTAGAATCGATGCTATGAAAGTAAAAATGTTTGTGAGATATTGATTCAATTAGAATAGAACTTAAAAGTGAGCTAAATAGGGGCTGGGAAGGTGGCTCAGTGGTAGAGCGCTTGCCTTGCATGCTTGAGGCCCTGGGTTCGATTCCTCAGCACCACATAAGCAAAAAGAAAAAAGCCGGAAGTGGCTCTGTGGCTCAAGTGGTAGAGCGCTAGCCTTGAGCTGAAGAGCTGAGGGACAGCGTCCAGGCCCAGAGTTCAGGCCCCACGACCGGACCGCCCCCCCCAAAAAAAAAGTGAGCTAAATATTATAAGGAAAAAATACCATATAAAGAATGGTGCATTAAATACACTTTTAAAAAATTGAACATTAGCCAAGTGCCGGTAGCTCATGCCTATAATCCTAGCTACTCAGGAGGCTGAGATCTGAGGATTGCGGTTCGAAGCCAGCCCGGGTAGGAAAATCTGTGAGACTCTTATCTCCAATAAACCACTAGAAAACCGGAAGTGGTGCTGTGGCTCAAGCAGTAGAGCACTTGCCTTGAGCTGAAGAGTGCGCCCAGGCCCAGAGTTCAAGCCCCACAACCAAAAAAAAAAAAATTGGACATGTCATTGAGATTTTATAATTTTTCTAATTCGCAACTTTCATATGATGATGTTATGTTAGTACATGGCAACTTAATTCACAACTATACTACAGATCAAAGTGACATCCTCCCAAAATTACAGTGAGAAGTTGGCTGAGTGTGTACAAAGTGACGTAGTCTACACCTCACTGCCCCGTTTCTTAAAGATATTTCATGAAAACCACAAAAACAACCATTAAATGGTGTAGTCATTAAATGATGTAGTTGGGGGGCTCGGAAGGTGGCTCAGTGGTAGAGCGCTTGCCTTGCATGCATGAGGGCCTGGGTTCATTTCCTCAGTACCACATAAACAGAAAAAGTTGGAAGTGGCGCTGTGGCTCAAGTGGTAGAGCGCTAGCATTGAACTAAGAGCTGAGGGGCAGCGCCCAGGCCAGGAGTTCAAGCCCCACCACTGACAAAAACAAACAAACAAACAAACAAATGGTATGGTTGGGCACTGGTGGCTCACACCTACAAACCCAGCTATTCAGGAGGCTGAGATTTGAGGAGGATTTGAAGCCAGCCTGAGCAGGAAAGTCCATGAGACTTTCATCTCCAGCTAACCACCAAAAAGGCAGAAGTGGAGCTGTGGCTCAAGTGATAGAGCACCAACCTTTAGTAAAAAAAGCTCAGGGACAGCAGCCAGGCCCCAGGCCTCGAGTTCAAGCCCCAGTACTGGCAGACACATACACATATACACGCACACCATGCACATGCACACACACACACATAATGAGAGGCGAATACTTTATAATGTTCTAAGAGACAAGCTCACACCAAAAAGGCTTTTCTTGTCTACTTTGTAGAATGCCAACATAATACACATCCTAGACTCACTTCGTCCAACCACTCTGTGCTTACTGGTGTAGGCTTAGCAGACAGCATCTGCTCAATAAAAGTAGCAGCACAGAGGAAGCATTCTAAGACCTGAGGAGTATCAGTTTCCTGCTCCCTATCATCACTCTTGCCACAGAGCTCCCAGTATCCCAAGTAGCACAGGGCTGCAGAAATTCCCTAGTAGAAACACAGTAATCAGGCTCATATAGCCCTAATCTCCTGCAGGAGGTGTGACTTAGGGCTGCATGGCCCATGGCAGTAAGTTAGTGGAGTGGCCCCTTCTGCTAGTCACAGAACAGTCAAATGTCATAAGCAGTGCCTATCAAGGCCATGTAAGACTGGGATATATGTGCTAGCAGAACTAGCACTATGTCTCTGCATCCCACTCAGGGAAAAGATCTGACAGCTGGCCTGGGAAAAGTAGCTGAGCAGAATGGTCCAGTCCTTCCTGGTCCCCTAGATCATCCTAACCCAAGAGAGAGGATGCTCCAGTCATTCTCGCCATGCCCCCAATGGCATGAAGTCTTGCCTAAGCCTTGATGGTGGAGTTCCAGCTGAGAAGTTTCCAAGTCATATTCTCCAACTAGTTTCATCAGAAAGAAACTTGGGGATTCTTTTTTCCTTTTAATTTCCATTTATCTAGTTGTGTCTTACTTGTCACATGGTTCTTAACTCAGCAGGGCAGGAAAAAGAGATGACATTGTTGTCTCTTCACACCTTTCTGGACAGTGCTCCCTGTGGCCCACATTTCTCCACCAATTGCCTCTGTTGGGCTGAGAAAGAGCTTCATCTTCCACTTCTCATATGTCACCAAGAGATCCTTTAAGTGTCTCACTCCCTCAAGGGCTGGATTGCAGTGAGAGTTCTGGTATTGACCAGAAAATGGCATCCTGCAAGGGGCACTCATCAGCACACATCATCTCTAACTCTTAGAATTTTACCTCCTTGGCAACAACTTTTCAGAAGATTACATTGATGATCTCCTCAGTGCACAAAAACAAAACAAAACAAACAAATACCTACAACAACAGCAAGAAACCCACTGCAATCTGATCTCCCTAATGAGTCAAGTTTTGATCCAGATTCCAAATGGCAGTAGGCAAAACTTTTGATACCCATCTTACCTCAAAACAAATAAATAAGCGAAAGTTATTTTTAGGAACCAGATATATTCCTTTACATAAATCATACCTTTTATCCTGGTCTTCTTGGCTCTCACTTGCTTTGCTTACAGACAGCAGCCTCTTGTCTCGAGGAACCTGAAAAGAATCACCATTCATCAGTCAGACTTATATTGAAGCAACTGTGTTCATGTACTGGACTAGACACCAGAATATGCAAAATTAAAATAGAAGGTTCTCTAGGAAGGAGGAACAAGATGGATATTGTCAGAAGATGGTTAAAATTGAGTAGCGCTGGGCACTTCTGGCTCATGCCTGTAATCTTACCACTCAGGAGGCTGAGATCTGAGAATTGTGGTTCAAAGCTAGACCAGGAAGGAAAGTTGTGAGACTCTTATTTCCAATTAACCAGCAAAACAGCTGGAAGTGGCGATGTACTCTAGTCTTGAGCACAAAACCTCAAGGACAGTGCCTACTCTCTGAGTTCAAGCCCCAGGACTTGAACCAAAAAAAAAAGTGAGTCACAACAATGGCACCAGAGACAAAGGGCTGGTGAGAAACATGGGGTCACAACAAACATGATTCATCCCATTTAGGAAATTGGACCTAAGCAACTCTTCCTGGCCCTGTTACCTCCAGGCCAGCCCCTCCTAGGGAATGGATGAAGGGAGAAAAGTAATGTGTATGCGGTGAATCTGAACACCAGTGCCTTTGAGTAGACACAGCATGTGATCACAGAATTACAACAGCAGTCTGTGGAACAGTCTTGACTTAGGGTAAAGGAGAGAAAAGTTAGGTAGGAGCCGCACTGTCAGCTAGTAAAGGCACAAGTATCTCATACTATGTCACCCTTCCTACAAAGCTTATTGTTTTATCTTCACATTTTTTTCTCTCTTTTTTAATTTGTTTTTGGCCAGTCCTGGCTTGAACTCAGGCCCTTGGCATCTTTTGCTCAAGTCTAGCACTCTACCACTTGAGAGACAGCGCCACTTCTGGTTTTTTATGTTATGTGGTACTGAGGAATTGAACCCAGGGCTCCATGGATGCTAGGCAAGCACTCTACCACTAATCCACATTTTTTTTTCTAACCTATTTTATTCTTTTCCATAATCCCAACATATTACTGAAAAATGTCAGCTATGTTTCTGATAGCATTTAATCTCCTGACTGTACCATGGATCCTTTCTCATAGTTTCCAAACATAAAAGTAAGTATGTTTGGATTGTTTGGTTAGCTGAGTTTTTTGCTGCTGCTGCTGCTTCTTCTCCTTCTCCTTCTCCTCCTCCTCCTCCTCCTCCTCCTCCTCCTCCTCCTCCTTCTTTCTCTACAGATTTTATTATAGATTTTTGCCTAACTTGTTGACCCCACCCCCAAAATGCAGACTCAATATATTAAGATGAAAGCACATTGTGAGAAGCAGTCCTCTGCTAGACTCCCCCAGCAATGCCTCTGGTTTTCACTCACCCACATATGTATGCAAGCCTAGACAGATGGACTAAAGAGATGGGGAGCAGGTGGCCAAGAGTCAAGATCTCGAGTTTGAGCTGGTTACCAGTGGCTCAAACCTGAAATCCTATCTACTGAGGAGGCTGAGATCTGAGGATCATAATTAGAAGTCAACCTAAGCATGAATGTCCATGAGACGTTTATCTCCAATTAACCACCAAAAACCTGAAAGTAGAACTGTGTCTCAAGTGATAAAGTACAACAAGCTTTATGCAAAAAAAAAAAAAAAAAGGGCCGGGCACCAGTGGCTCATGCCTGTAATCCTAGCTATACAGGAGGCTGAGATCTGAGGACTGCGGTTCAAAGCCAGCCCAGGTAGGAAAGGCTTTGAGACTCTTATCTCCAATAAACCACCAGAAAACCAGAAGTGGCGCTGTGGCTCAAGTGGTAGAGTGCTCACCTTGAGCTGAAGAGCTGAGGGACAGCACCCAGACCCAGAGTTCAAGCCCCACAACTGACCAAAAAAAAAAAAAAAGATGTGTGTCCAGACACTGAGTTCAAGCCTCAGGACTGGTGCACACATGCGTGCACGTGCACGCACACACACACAAACACACAATCTAGATTTTAATTTCCTGAATTCAACTCCCATCTTGACCACTAACAAAATCTGGTCCTACTTTTCCCATTTATAAACTAGGTATGCACTAAAATTAAATGAGTCACATTTTAAAATAATGAGAATGTGTAGTCGTTTACAAGTATTTGTTAAAGAAAAATAAATTATGAGCCTTTTGTTCATATGACAATTTTTGAGAGTCTATAATGTGTCAGGTCTTGCTAAGTACCAGATAGAAATAAAAACAACATAGTTCTAGTACTGAAGATGATAAACATAAATTTTCAGTACCCAGTACAGTGATATTCATCACAACATTATTCAATAGCTCAAAGTATAAACAACCCAATGGTTATCAACAGATGAATGGATAAACAAAATGTGGTATAGTCACACAACATAATATTAGTCTGACTTTAAACAACATGCAACTCTGCCACAAGCCACAATGAATAAACCTTTAAGACATGCTATGCTAAATGAATTAAACCACATACCAAGGAACAAATATTATGTAATTCCACTTATATGAGGTACTCAGAACAGTGAAACTGGAAGAGGCCAAAGGTACAACAGAGCTCAGCAGTAGGTGTCGGAAGAGAGGATGGGAGTTAGTATTGAATGGGTAGAGTTTCAGTCTAGAAAGATGGACATTATGGAGAGAGATGGAGGAGAGATGCACAATAATGAAAATGTCCTTAGTGCTGAACTGTGCACTTGAAATGGTTGAAATGGTCACTTTGGTGTTAATGTATATATTACCACTGTTTTAAGTGGTAAGGAGAGAGAGAATGATGAACAAAGAGAGAGAGCGATGCATCAATCAAGATGCATCAACATGCGTTGTACTCATAGGCGCCGTGGCTCAAGTGGAAGAGTGCTCTCCTTGAGCTGAAGAGCTCAGAGACAGCGCCCAGGCCCAGAGTTCAAGCCCCATGACCAACAAAAAATAAAATAAGACACATTGTACTCATAAACAGCTTCGTTGAATGGCAATCCCTTTGTGCAATCACTTAAAGATAATACAAATATAAATCATTTTTTGAACTAAAGTGGGAAGGAGAAAGTAGTATTTAGAAGAAGGCCTATCTCCCCAACCCTGCCTGTGAGGTTGTGCCCTCTGGCACAGCCCACTTCACCAGGAAAACTTATTATTTCTACTTATTACTTATTGTTTAGAAGCATTTTCTATATAATATAAGGATAGAGATTCAAAGCCAGCCCAGGTAAGAAAGTCCATGAGATTCTTATCTCCAATTAACTACGAGACAACCAGAAGTGGTGCTGGGACTCAAAGTGGTAGAATGCTAGCCTTGAACTTTAAAAAAAAAAAAAAAAAAGCTCAGGGATAGCGCCCAGGCCCTTAGTTCAAGCCCCACAACCAAAACCAAAAATTCTGTATCTTTGCCAGGCACCGGCAGTTCACATCTGTAATCCTTGCAACTCAGGAGACTGAGATCTGAGGATCAAGATTCAAAGGCAGCCTGGGCAGGAAAGTTTGTGAGACTCTTATTTCCAATTAATCACCAAAAAGCCAAAAGTGGAACTGTGGTTCAAGTGGTAGAGAGCTAGCCTTGAGCAAAAACAAACAAACCAACCTCAGGGACAGCACTAATACCTGAGTTCAAGCCCCAGGACTGGCACACACACAAAAAAAGTACTGAGGCAAAACTGAACTGCCGGTAGGAATTTATTAGGTGCCGCCAGGAAAGGAAGAACTTCCACCAGAGATGATACTTTACTTTTTTTCCCCTCTTGGCTGGTATTACAGCATGAACTCAGGGTATCATGCTTCCTTGCCTTGCTTGCTCAGTTTGCTTGCTCAGTGGATGATCTACTATTTGAGCCATGCTTCCAGGCTGGCTTTTTGCTGGTTATTTCAGAGGTGGAATATAGGAAACTATTTTAACCAGGCTTGCTTCTAACTGCAATCCTCCAAATCTCAGCCTCCTCAGTTGCTAGGATTATAGGCATGAGCCATCAGTGCCCAGCTCAATAACACACTTCTTTATGGTCCCTTCAACAGACTATTGCAAAACCACTTTCTTCTCAATTTTTGAGTATTCCTCACCTTTTCCCCTTCCAACCAGGACACAAAATTCCTTGTGCCTCCAAAAGAAATGAGGGAAAATAATTACGTTGGCCAAAAAAAACATCAGTTCATATTTACAAAGAGGTAGAGAAAGACAGCAATTATTACAATAATTCAAGTTGCCAAAATGTATACTCAAAAAAAGGAGAATATTCTTTGTTTTTTCATAGACATATCATTTAGGAAAATGGTTTATCCTCACAGGACATTTAACTTTATTATAATTCTCATTCCACCATATAAATTTGGAACAGTTACACAACTGACAAAGGCCTCAAAATGATAATATGAAAATAGAGTTGGAAAGGCTAGTCTTTCCATAGGCACTAAAATGTTCCAAGATAAAAGACAGTAAATCTTGTATGAAATAAAAAGAGCCATGTAACTAGGTTTCGGAAAGTATTAATTCAACAGGATGAGTTGTAGATTTGGTAATCCTTTGAGTTTTATATAAACTCCCTACTCTGCATCTCAAAATGTTTATAAAAAGCAATAGTTCCAACTTTCCTTCAAATATTAACAAATGTGGAAGAGGAGAAGTTATCTAGGTACCAACATTCTTCATACTCAGTTAGCCATATTACTAATAACTAGCCTCTGTACCTAGGAGAAGTGAAATACATTGTTTTGTAAATTACTAATTATTTTTGTTTCAGAATAGGTTTCTTTTCCTCATTAATACAACAAAACTACTATCTAATAGATATTTGAAATTGTATCTATTTCACAGTGACAAAATAAAATATGAACAATATATTTCTTTAAAGCCATTAGCTGAAAGATTGGTTTAATATGATAAAAGTTTTTTTTTTTTTTGGTCCGGTCATGGGGCCTGAACTCTGGGCCTGGGTGCTGTCCCTCAGCTATTCAGCTCAAGGCTAGTGCTCTACCACTTGAGCCACAGGGCCACTTCCGGCTTTTTTCTTATGTGGTGCTGAGGAATCAAACCCAGGGCCTCTGGCATGCAAGGCAAGCACTCTACCACTGAGCCACCTTCCCAGCCCATGATAAAAGTTTTTAAAAGGTTGTAAAAAATCTAAGTGCTTATGGCTCATGCCTGTAATACTAGCTACTCAGGAGGCTGAGATTTGACTGTCGAGGTTCAAAGCCAGCCCAGGCAGGAAAGTCCATGAGACTCTTATCTCCAATTAACTACCAGAAAACTGGAAGTGGTGCTGTGGCTCAAGTGGTAAAGCACTTGAAGGAACTGCTCTTCATAGTGGTTTGGTCTCCAATGATGATTTTCCCACAATGGACAGAGGAAGAGAGATATGATTCAATCTTATCCCAAACTAAGAGTTCACTATACCCACCTAGCACAAGATACCCTCATCTTCATGTCAATCCTAGCATAAACCAAAGGTGTCCACCATCGAAGCAAGCAAAGCATCTCCTCATTCACCATGTTGATTGTTTATGCTACAACTATTCTGAGTCAAGTTCAACTGGATACAGTCCTTCACACATGAGACAGACTCATTTCTTGCTCAGCTTCTTGAAATATTCCTGGCTTCTAAGTGCTGTGTGGAAGGGTTTATTGTTGTTGTTGTTGTTGTTATTTTCTCTGTTATGTTTTGTGTTACATAAAAGCTTAATGCAGGGGCTGGAAAGTGGCTTAGTGGTAGAGTGCTTGCCTTGCATGCATGCATGAGGCCCTGGGTTAGATTCCTCAGCACCACATAAACAGAAAAAGCCAGAAGTGGCGCTATAGCTCAAGTGGTAGAGTGCTTGCCTTGAGCTGAAGAGCTGAGAGACCCCCAGACTCAGAGTTCAGGCCCCACGACCAACAAAAAAACAAAAGCTTAATGCCAATGGAAACAAATGGAGAATTAAGGGTTCAAATAGTTGCAAGACTTTCACAAAAGCATTCATTATTAGAATGTTCCTATAAGACTGAAAGTTCTAAAATAGCTGAATGTTTCTTATAAAACCAAAAGTTCTAGAGGCAACCTAAGTGCTCAACAGATGAACCCTGCCTAAATTATTATCCACAATAGAATATACTTTATTCACTAAAAAAAGTGACAACCAGGGAGTATGGATAAAATGATGCTAAGTAGGAATTATATATTTATGCAAGGACATAAGAAATAATCGCTACAAAATTAAAACTTTCCTTTGCACTGGTGTGAAGTTGTGCTTCATAGATGGGGCCGGAGGAGGCAGTAAGAACAAGAAGAGGCTAAAATCCATGTAAGTCCACTGGCCTAGCATGAAGACTCTCCCTTGTCACCCTTTGAGCAGGAAGAGGAGGCAAGACCGGGGTCCTACCTTGTAGTAGTCATAGAGCAGCCCAAGGGCCGCAGCGCTGTCCTCATCACCATTAATGCTCATCATGGCCTTGGTGGCAGCTGTCAGGGGATTCTCCAGGTAGGACTTCCAGGCTTCATCCTCACTGGTGTAGGCTCTTCGAGAATTGAACGGAGGGTCAGTGGGCATGGGCACCAAGGCCACTAGTCTTTTATTACTATGAAAATAAGAGAAATAGGACACTCATTATTGGAGAATTTTCCTTTTGGTCACCAATCATACACTTTCACATGATGAAAAGGCATGAATATTGCCCCCAAAATTAGAGAGAAATAGAAGAAGAGTAAAACTAAAGTCATTTGAGTTCTTTTTTTCACTAGCCATGAAAAGTAAGATGAAGCCAGGCACCAGTGGCTTGCGCCTTTAATCCTAGCTACTGAGGAGGCTGAGACCTGAGGATCAAGGTTCAAAACCAGCCTAGGCAAGAAAGTCCAATTATCTCCAATTAGCTACCAAAAAAGCTGGAAGCAGAGTTGTAGCTCAAATAGTAGAATTCTACCCTTGAACAAAAAAAAGCTCAGAGACCATGCTCAGGCCTTGAGTTCAAGCCCCAGATACACACAGGAGTCTTTTAGAGGCTGTATAAATACTGTAGTAATGTATTGACCTCCTTCAAACTTGGTTCCATTCAAGTAGTTTAATTATTCTTCATTAGTGAATACTAGAAGGGAACCCTGTAAGGACAGGTTTCATTTAACTGAGCTCTAATTAAAACTATATGTGATATTTTCAATGTAATCAATATGTTAATAAGCATTAAAATCATTTTCCTTTAGTTCAACTTATGCTTACAATGATAAATTCTCATAATTAAAAGTGGCAATATAAGCTACCAGGCAAACACAGCATAGTATATATGGATAATATAACACTATGGATAGAGAACAGTAGTAAGTAATGAGATGGCCTCTGTGTAAGAATCCTGGGTTGTATAGTATTCTACTACATGTAGGTGGTCTAGGTTACTAAGACCATTGTGGAGGCTGAGGAAGGCATCTGGAGAATTTCAGATAGAAAGGAAGTATAGTCAATTAATTCTAACCAAGTCAACCTTGTATACAGAAAGCCAGTTCACAAGGCAATATCACAATGCAGATGAGCCTAACCGCATAAATACCCAAAGACCATGACATCCTCAGCTGCTGTCCATGTTGGAACTCAAAGTGCCAAACAAGAGTCTAGAGAAGCCCTGTCAATCAATTTCTGGCTCTTTTGCTTATTCAGTGAAACAGAACCAAAATAGAACACTGTGATATTGTATTTTAGTAACAACATGGCATTGGCAATGACAGTACCAGTGACTGTATCACCAATAGAAGTCAATGGAAATTCAACCAAGACCTTGATGATCATGCAATTATGAGAGATTCTGTTGCTGGCAGTTCTTCAGGCTCTTCCAATGTTGGATGGTCCTTAGCTTATTTTGTGATGGAGAAATGGTAGGAACTCTCAGCAAAGAATGTATTAAAAGCCCTTTTCATGTTGGCATGGTGCCATGCATCAGTGTAAGGTCAGAAAAGGACGCTGATCTAAGATCTTTCAGGGCTGGGGAGTGGAATGGGAAATACACACTTAGTAAAGGGGGCTCTAGGTTAGATAGTCCGTAGGTCTCTGGTCTTTGTGCCAGTGGTTTGGTTGAACTGATTAGGAAGAACAAGAGAACACTGACTCAATTACAAATGAACTGGGAAGAATGTGTATAATTAGGTGTCTTACAATATGTGAGAAAACCCTTTACCGCTAGGCAGGGAGGAAGGTGACTCAAGTGGCAGAAAGCACAGGCCCTGAGTTCAAACTCCAGCACCATGAAAAGAAGGAAGGAAGGAAGGAAATCTTAAGTAGGTTGCTTTTGTATTATCATCATAAAGTCAAAATATCAGTATATGCAGTGCCTTTATCACTGAAAAGGAGAATTTTGAGTGAGGCCCTTGTTACTCAGGCCTGTAATCCTAGTCTGTGAGATTCTTATCTCCAATTAACTACCAAAAAGCTAGAAGTGGCGCTGTGGCTCCAGTGGTAGAGTGCTAGCCTTGAGCAAAAAAAAAGCTCAGGGACAGTGCCCAGTCTTGAGTACAAGCACCAGGACTGAGGATTTTTAGTCTCTCTTGCTGAAGGGAGGAATATTAGTTATAACACTGACTGTTATCCAGACTAAAGCCCAAGTGAGGGATCACACTAGCTAGCAGCCTGATTTACTGGAAAGGTTTTTGTCTTGAGTCTTCCTTCCTAAAGTTCTACTCTCCCCTGCTAAATCTCAATGACTGTGTCATCTGTTCCTGACACAGATGTTTACTCATGAATTTAGGAAATCTATCAGCCTTTCCCTTAGGATAAAACTGTGAGTGAATCCATGTATAATTAAATATTCTTGGAAATTGCAATGGGACCAAATATTTCTTTTCACATTTTGATGGCTCAAAAGGATTTTTATGTCATGCTCCCACGCCCCATTTCACTGTACACTGACTTTGGATTTTTTTTTTTTTTTTTTTTTTTTGTCAGTCCTCATGGGGCTTGAACTCTGGGCCTAGTGCTGTCCCTGAGCTTCTCAGTTCAAGGCTAGTAGTACTCTACCACTTGAGCTACAGTGCCATCTCGGGTTTTCTGGTTGTTAATTGGAGATGAGTCTCACAGAAGCTGGGCACCGGTGGCTCATGCCTGTAATCCTAGCTACACAGGAGGCTGAGATCTAAGGATCAAAGTTCAAGGCCAGCCTGGGCAGGAAACTCCGTGAGACTCTTTTTTTTTTTTTTGGGGGGGGGGTGGGGGTGGGGAGTTATGGGTTTTAAGAGTCCATGCTGATTTCTACAAAAAACTAAATATCAGAGACATAATAATGCATAAAGTGATTTTATTTCATCTCTGTTTTGGAGTCTGAAAGTACAATATATCAGTAGGCCTTTTCTTTTACATCTGTTGAGGGTCTCACAAGGTGTGGCTTTGGGTCCTGAGACTCTTATCTCCAATAAACCACCAGAAAACGGGAAGTGGTGCTGTGGCTCAAGTGGTAGATCACTATCCTTGCGCTAATCCAGGCCCAGAGTCAAGCTCCATGACAGACAAAAAAAAAAAAAAGAGTCTCACGGATGTTCATGCATGGGCTGGCTCTGCAGTTCTCAAATCTCAGCCTCTTGAGTAGCTAGGATTACAGGCATGAGCCAGCCACCAGTGCCTGTGATTTTGGATTTTTGATTCATAGATTATTCTTTCTCCAGGACAGAGTGCTATTGAATGAAGTCTGCTTTAATAAAAGGAAAGTAATCTCTCTGGTACACTGAGCAAATATATATATAGACTTTGTAAAGAAACGTTCCACAGAGCACCTTTTCACCAACGTTAGAGACACTTTCTGAGCTGCCATTACTGATCATCAGGAGTGACAATTCTCATTCTGCTTTAGTCACTTTCTTAAATATCCTCTGTGAAACTTCAGGTGTGCGGTGTTCAGAGAAGTCCTGAGCACAGAAGTGTGATCAAGCGTGAACTCCCAAGAGTGAACTCTCCGGGACAGTCTTTGGAGAACAGAGATGAGTGGCAGAGAATTCTCAGCAAGGCAAATGCATGGGAACTCACACATACAACTCCTTTTTTCCTCTTGTTTTCTTTGACCCACTGCTTCATTTTGTGAATGTAAGGAGCAAGGCTGAGAGATGAGTCACCAGCTGAAGTGGTGAAAGGGAAGGAGAAGGACAATCTGAGATCATAACCAGCAAGTTACCTAAGGCTCTAGATCACTAAGCCATATCAGCCCTCTTCTCCCTTCTCTTCCTTCCCCCTCCTCTCCCTTCCCCTTTTCCTCCTCCTTCTCCTCCCTCAGGGCAGTAATGACAACATCATGAACCAAGAGTTTTGCTGAGGAAGAACAGGAAGCTGCATATATTGGCTTCACCTTCTAAAACTATATCTCCCTTGCAGAAAGTCAGTCACCGTATCCTTATTGCAGATTTAACCTTAACTGTTAATGCCTCTAACTAAACAATTTCCCATCTGTATTCCATATTGAGATCTGGTGAGAAGATCTTCATAGAACACAATTTTCCACAATGTATGAGCCTTCACAGCTCGTAAGATCAAGTCTAAAACTCTCTACTTCTCTAGTCACAAGAAATGCCCTTAACTTCCCTAAATTTATTGAGCCAACTGCTGTCCTGATCTAGGTGTTGAGAACACAGTACTGGTCATCCAGACCAAGTTCTTTTTTTTTTTTTTTTTGGGGGGGGGGTCCGGTTATGGGGCCTAACTCTGGGCCTGCGTGCTGTCCCTCAGCTTTTCAGCTCAAGGCTAGCGCTCTACCACTTGAGCCACAGCACCACCTCCAGCTTTTTTCTTTTTCCTTATGTGGTGCTGAGGAATCGAACCCAGGGCCTCATGCATGCAAGGCAAGCGCTCTACCACTGAGCCACCTTCCCAGCCCCAGACCAAGTTCTTAGTGCTATGGAAATTTTCATTCACTGACTCATTTACTCATTTATTAAAGTAATTTTATTGTCAGAGACTGCCCTAAAGAGGTAAGGAACCTCTGGCCCTTGGGCTATATAAGGCCCAAGAAATCATATGGCACATGACACATGCTTTTTGTATGCTTCTTATCTGACTATTGATCATTTTGTGCAGTCTATAACGACATTACAAATATTCAAATGGTCCTTGGGAAAAAAAATAAAGTTTCCTTACTCCTGCAAATGCTAAAAACAAGTACATCCCAGGGCCCGCACTTTGAGGTCTCTTAAAAAAAAATAAAAAGGCTCTAACCCCTATACAAGTCCAAGAATAAAGATGCCATAGAGTGATGAATCAAAGAAGTTAGTGTGTGTGCGCACGCGTGTGCATGTGCATGTATACTGAAGCACTAGTACTTTAGCTCTTTGAAAATTAAGTTATCATTCACTTGAGGAGTCTTAACTGAGCATTTGATTTTTTTTTTTTTTGGTCGGTCGTGGGGCTTGAACTCTGGGCCTGGGCGCTGTCCCTCAGCTCTTCAGCTCAAGGTGAGCGCTCTACCACTTGAGCTACAGCGCCACTTCCACTTGTTTTTTATTTATTTTTTATTTTTTTATTTTTTTTTAACTGAGCATTTAAAGTAAGCTGGCACAGCACTAAGAAGTAGGATATCATGGTGGTTTAAAAAAAAAAAAAAAAAAAAGATGTAACCCTACT